CTCTCTCTCTCTCTTCCTCTGCCCTTCAGCGTTCCCTCTGTTGTGTCCTCCTCAGTTTTCCTCCCTTTTTCACTCCATCCGTCTGTGTTTCTTGTCGTCCCTCCTCTACTGTCAGTGAGAAAAGGGTGAGGCAGAGTTAATAGGCAGGTACTGATATGTCACCCTGCCACAATGAAGTCCATTACCGTGTGTCAGACCAGTGGGAGGGGGCAGGGGCTGGAGGAAAGCTTGGTTAGCTGCCACGATTGAATCGAAATTGCAATTTGAATGGACGAAATTAGGAAATTACAAAGGTCGGATTCTTTTGAAGTACCATTATTTCCTCCATAAAGCAACAAAATCTCCCTTTGTAGTTTCGATCTGTATGAACATGTTCTGAAATATGATTGTTGTATTGGTTTGTCAGTTCATATTTCAGTCTTTTTGTCAGTTCTTTTCATCACTTTTAAATGTTAAATTTGAACAGAATATTATTAAATAGTAGGGATGTAACAACAACCGAAAATTGTGATATCCTGTTGTCAAAGTTCTCACAATAATATCGGGGACCATCACAATATATCAAATTACTAGTTTCTTTGCTTAAATTAAGAGTTATGGTGCCGCTATAAGTAAAAAAAAGACAGAAAGAACTACATAAACCATGATCCTTTGCTCCATTTCAGCTTCGACTACAAGAAGAAATAACAGTTCTAAGCACTTTTAAGTCTTAGTTCTTTGGATTAAGTCTTGTCAAGGCATTTTAAGAGGAAAAAGTAGCATAATATTAACAGTTTTAGCTGTTTAGCCTCAACAAAATATTGCAGTAAATATCGTACTGTGAGATGTATATCGTGAAAATATCGTACCGAGAGATTTGGATATTGTTACATTCCTAATTGTGAGCCTCCCCAACATATCGTGAGTTTTCCCACGATATCACAATAAATATCGTACTGCGAGGTCCATACTGCGACAATATTGTATCATGAGACTTGGATATCGTTACACCCCTATTAAATAGGGTTGTAAAAAAGTATCGAAATCAGATACTAATCCATACTAAAACTGGTGTCAAAACTAGATACTCATTGAAGAGATATAGGGTCGGTTTACACGAGAATGCTTGCGGATAAAAACGGCATAATATTTTATCAGAACTGCCTTTCATTTAGACGGTGACGGCGTTTTTGTGGCTTAGAAACACAAAAATGTGAAGCTGCCTTCTAGAGTAGAAAAGTTGAATACACTCCGCCACAGCGTTTCTGTCCACACTGCCCAAGACGCCAAACTCTGGTCAGATCTGCTCACGTCACGTACACGTTTACATCATATACATACAGTACACAGAAACGAACATGTCTGATCATTTCCATGCGTCGGACCTTCAAGCTGCTCTCTCAACTTTAATAAACTTGCAGGAGGCATCCCAACAAATGTACAGAATGTGCAAAGATACTATTAGTGAACAGAGAAGGATCTGCAATCACCTGTGTCAGATTTTGGATGCACTGGTTTGTCGCAGGCGAGCCAGACGGCATGCATACCCAATTGAATTCCACACACTTTTGCTTCACAGTATGCATGCAGATTTCCTCCTGGAAATGCTTGTCTAAACGCAGAATAAAAGGTGAAGACGCAACGCCACTTTTGCATCTTCTGTTCAGATCGACATCATATAAACGTAGCCACAGATACTAAAAAAAAGTCACATTCACAGGGCATAAATGAACCTTTCCTGAATAACTTTAGAATGATCTTGAGCTGTATCAGAACAAGTATAAAAGCACATAGACTAGTGTACGCTTTGGACCACTATGGAACCCACCTGGACCACTGAGGGATTACACAGATATAAGAACATGTGGTGATATGAACACAGGTGCTAGGATTTAATGTTGAAAATGGCATTCTATTGTCTAAGGAAAATGTTTTTAATTATCATTACTTTTTAGAGTGAATTGTAGTATCATGACAACACTATCTAATCGCAGTAGGGATGCCTTTCAGAGAAATCACAATTTTATATCTTTCACAAATCGCTCAGCCCTGCTCCAGAGCCCGGCCGTCTCCTGGCTCTCCTCCTCTGGCATCACATTTGAAATGCTCCATTAGTTTGCAACAGGCACTTTCTCACCCGCTCCCCAGCAACACCGAAGATCAGTTTAGGCCGATAACTCTTGTAATAAACGCTATTGATGCCACGCACACATAATGCCAGTTATATTGAAGACACGCTCTCTGCCAGGCGGAGCCGACGGGAGAGGAGTTTGGGGCGAGGTTCGATACGGAGCTTTTGTGAGAGATACCTCATTAGAAAAATCCAATTTGATCCCAAAGCATTCTTTGTTATCTTGTGAAATGAAATTTTCAGAGGCTTATTTTCCCCGCCGGCTGTCCACTATTTTTTGTCCCAGGAAAGTTGTACTACTTTACTTTTGGAAGGGATTTGATGTGGAATCCAAGTGTTGAACCTTGTCCAAATACAGTGAAATAGCCTCAGAAACTGTTAACTCTTTACAATGAATCCAGAATAGGTTCATAACTGTTTATAATAATTAGCTATTAAAGTAGATCCATCAGTTGAGGGATATTCAAACAAACATTTATCACAATAACATTCATAAAAACGTGACAACCAGAGCTGCTCCTGTTATTCTTGTGATTGTCTGACCTCGAACTGGAATTTATTACAACTTTTATAGATCAGTTAATTGTTTATGAAGAAAAAAGGAAGTTGGTTACATAACATTATGATGATGACTTTAAAGGCACATTGTGTAACTTTTCACTTGAGATCTAGATGCTTTGCCTGGACTGTTCCACAAACTGGCATTAAACAAATCTGTCTTCATGTAAACAAGCAGGTGATAACAATAAGGCAAGTTTCACGTCTTGTTCTAATATTAAGACCTACTCTCTTTATACTGTGACCAGACCATATGTTTGTATAACAGCTTGAATTTATGGATATTTTGGCGTTGCTTGAGCTGTGTATCCAGACTGTTCCAGAGTCTTACACCACATACAGACACACAGAGACTTTTACGAGTAGTTCGAACACTGGGCAATTTAAATTTTCCATAACCTCCAAAATTACAAGTTCTCTCTCTCATTTTGAACAAGGTTTGTAGATTACTTGGTAGTAAATTGTTGCATGCTCTAAATTAAGGCTGTGCAATTGATTGAATTTCAATCGCAATTTTGATTGGTGTGTCAAACGATCTCCAAACTCATTTAATCGAAATTTAAACTATTTAAAGCTTAACAAAGTTTATTCTGGTATATTTCTTAGTTAAGTAAGTATATTTATTTTATTTTTTTAATATAGAAATTGTAGAAGATCTGGATATATAGTTTATTTTGGATACATTTATGTTTTTCAATGCCTTATTTCATGTTCAAAGTTTATTTTATTCATTTTTTGTTTTATGTATTGCAAAACTGCTCTAAGATACATGTTTGTAGCCTGAATTTATTTTCAATTTGAAAGTTTTGTGTAAATGATCAATAACAAAGTGTTTTTTGAGAGGCTGAATAAATGTATCTAAGGGCCTATTTACACGAGAACGCTTGTGAGTAAAAACAACTAAATATTTTATCGGAAGTGCCGAAGTTGAACACGTAGCATTTCCATCTACACTGCCCAAGACACAAAACTCTGGTCAGATCTGCTCACATCACGTACGCGTTAACGTCACATACATCACCACCGAGCCGCCTGGCGTGCACACCCCGTTGAATTCCACACACTTTTTTGCATTACCATATGGTCGTAGATTTCCTCCTGCTCATCTAAACGCGGAATAAAAAGTGAAGACGCAGCTCCACTTTTGCGTCTTCTGTTCAGACCATCATCACAACTGCAGCCTTAAAATAATAATTTGAATAATCGCGATTTCAATATTGACCAAAATAATCATGATTTTGTTTTTTTCCCATAATCGAGCAGCTCTACTCTAAATAAAATTACCAGCGTATAATATTTTACGAGGTCAGGAATCTATAGGAGCCGTAACATTCCCATGGAGACAATCAGGCACAGACCTTCACTCCAGAAAAGTTCCATAGAGCACCTTTTAAGATAATGCATTAGTCATTTCAAAACTTGCGGTTACGTTTCCCTTTTTACACTCTGACCTTCTCTATAGTTTCCCCCCTTCGCTCTCGTAACCATAAAACACCACGCTATGTTCCGCCTCTGTCCCAACAACATGGAAGTGCATTCATGTGAGAAATTGTGTTTTTGGAGCGTGCCCGCCAGTTGACGTCTTGGTTCCTGGCTGGTGGTTGGGTCGGGTGGGAGGAGGGAGCGAGCGAGGGAGCTGGACCGTACCCACAAACACACACACAGACACACGCACGCACACACGCAAACACACACATGCTTTCGTCCGGTTGGTTGCCTGATCGGGATCAAGCCAGTCACGCTGTTTCTCATCACATGTTACCTCCAGCCTGCCTGTTGACGTACGCCGCTAACCTATTGTGCGCGGAAAAGTAGGCCATATTATCACTCCGAGCCATAGGAAACTGAAAAACGCATGAACAAGAATCCTGTAAACACTGTAAAGTCGTGTCTGGAAGGATGACCTAACCTGCTTGCGTTTCTTATCATGATGCACCAGCGCGTGTGGCCGGCTAAACCCAGGAATAGACCGAGGATTTGCGGACCAGGTTGGCTCCCTTCTGTCCTATTTGGAAAACAGCAGGATATCTTTCGGGCTTGTTAAAAAGCAAAACAAAACAGCTCGCCAACAACTTTAAAAGAAGAGGAACTTTGCTTTCGGGGAACCATGGGAGTTGCGTTTTCTCATTAATTGGAGCCAGATTTGAAAAGTTGCTGAGCAGGGCAGAATGTTTGTATTTCCACTCCGGTCCTTGCCTTTTTAAAGTTGTAAGCAGACAGCGTGCAACAACTAAGCACAAGGTTTGCTAATCTCCTACCAATTTGGCTTTCTTTCTGTAGTCCGTGTTGTGGTTTTAAGCATGCTTTTGTTGCTTGTTGTTTTGAATTCTAGGTGTGGGCAGTTTGCAGAGGACCTCCAGCCAGCGCAGTGCTATGACCTACCAAAGAAGCAACTACACGCTGAACTCCACGCCGACGTACGCAGACCCCTACCGTACACAGACGCAGTACCGGCCCCTGGATTCAAGCTACGCACGGCAGGTTATCATGGACGAGGATGCTACGCGGTCACCTTCTATAGACAGTATTCAGAAAGATCCGAGGTAAGAGTTTGTTGTTTTGGTTTTTCTTTGCTATTTTTAAGTCTTAAATGTGGCATTGTTTTAGTTTCATGATGTGGTAAAGTTGGCAAATTCCAGTACTGCAACAAAAAGCAGAATATGATTATAAATTTTAACATATTTTGTAATGGTTCTTAGTAAAGTTCTTTTATATTTTCTTTTACTTCATGAATACTTTATGTAAATGCAACTTGGAAACATACTGGAAGGATAGATGGATAGTTAAGTTCATTGATAAGAAGCCCTGTGTACCTTTTTGGAGCATCTGCCGCCCGCTTGTTTCATGTTTGTTATTGTTTTGCCAGGAATATTCCACAGTAGTGCATTTAACTCTTCTATCTTGCATTAGTTCATTACAGCTGTTTTTATGGCTCCAAAATACCTTCCATGCATTCTTACTGCTTGTCTCTTCATAGATTTGGAGTGTAATTTGGCGTAGTGGTGGCACTTACTTGTTTCCATGGAGATAGGAAAGTGTAAAACCATAGTGAGGAATATTTAAGGCACAGATACCGTATTTTTCAGGGTATAAGGCACACTTAATATCTTTTAATTTTCTCAACAATTGACAGTGCACCTAATAATCCAGTGCGCTTTATGTATTATTTCTGATTGTACTTACTGACCTCGAACTGATTTTATGTGGTACACAGCACTCAAAAATCTGTCAAAATGTTTCAGTACGACTTTGGTAAACTACGAAGCCGCACCGCTTGATGGATTGCCGGAGAATTACGGCTACCATCAGCAGCACATCCTAAGTCATAGAAAGAACACTCATATTCCACTGAGTCGTGTCCTTTAGTCCGACAGAAGCTGAACCGCATCAGCGCACAAGGAGCAGCTGTTTTTTCAGCGCTTATAGTTTATGCAAATTAGCCATGTGATTTTAAGTTTTGTTTCTGTAAAATGTAAACAAATGTGCTCAAAGCTGGATTATACACATTATTACTCAATGTATATTTGAGTCCTCCTCGAAAATATAAAAAAAACAAATAAATAAATAATGATCCACCCACATTCACATTCATAATCCACATTCACCAAGACAGGGAGCCAACGCCGGGCAAATTACACCACGATGTGCCCATGGATCGTGGACGCCTGGGCTAAAGGATCAGTCTGAAGTGTCACCCGTTTGTTTCACTTTATGCGTCTTATAATCCGGTGTGCCTTATGTATGAAAATAGACGAGAGAATTCAACATTAATGACATTGCGCTTTATAATCCGGTGCACCTTATAGTCCGAAAAATACGGTATTTATTATATGCATCCTTACTGATTGGAGAAAAAAGTCCTTGGAGATTTTAGTTAATAGAAAGTCAATAGTCAGATAGAATAATCAGGCTTATTAAACCTAGATTCAACTTGAGTGTATATTTAAGAACAAGTAAATAATACAATTTGGTGTGAATTGGGGGCTAACATGAAAACAAACTAGCCAGTTTTAGCCTAGCTTCGCCTCACCTCACCCTCTCATTTAAAGGGAACCGCTGTGCTTACAAGGCATCCCTGTTCTGCTGGGTCAACACCAGTGTCCTCTTACAATCCAAACACAGAGCCCCCCAGTGTTGTAGCCCACAGCCCTGACCATTAAGCTGCTTCTAATATGGCTGACTTCTTTACAAAGGCCCCTCACACACACACCGCCGCGTCCGCTCTCGTCCCCCCCGACCTGTACTAGCAGTGGGGGACCGTGACCTCCACCGCAAAGCCCTGACCGCGCACATTGGAGCTTTGTTTGCTCATGTATGTTGTTGTAGGGAAATCACTTCACCACCAGTACAACACGTGGACTGACCTAACCCGGCTGTGTGTAAAAAGTGATTTATTGGGCAGTATTTGTAGCCAAGTTTTGTAATTGTTGGATGAAATTGTTGTCTAGGGAATATGCACAGGTAAGCTCCTCTGGGAATGGTTTTGAAATTGTGTTCATTATGTAAACGTCCTGTGTTTTTCCCATGTATTTGAGCAAAATTTATCTTGTATTGTATTATAAGTTGGTTTTAAGGTCAAAGTAAGTCTGCTATGTGCTGTCTCCATCTAACTATGAACTGTCTGAGAATCAGTAAGTGCACATTTAGCATGCTAGTTGTTGTTAGCTCATTGCGGTGAATGCTCAGAATACAAACCGTCATCTTTTTCATGTGTTTAAGACTTCTTTCATTCAAAGCTATACAATAGTGTTTTTGGCTTGCTATTCTTTACATACATGTAGCACATGGATCTAGCAGGTTTTTAAATCAGATGCCCTTCCTGTTACAATCAGACTGATACTAATTTATTTACTTGTACATATACATTTATATAATTATGTCTACTGACACCAGTCTCTTGCTATTTTTACTGCCACTTACCGTATTTTTCGGATTACAAGTCATTCCGTAGAGTAAGTCGCATTAGCCCAAAAATGTGTAATGAAGAAGAAAAAAACTTATAAGTCGCACTAATTCTCACTTTTTGGGAGACCAGGAACTGACATTTCATCTTGAAAGTCAAGTTATAGTAACAACAATAGAACAGAGAACAACAGACTGTTAACGTCACATATGAACAGTTCTTCAGTTAACTATAGCATAAATAACAGAACAGAACAAGTTTACCAAACTCTCCATCTCACTCCAAATCACTAAATACATTGAATTCTTCGTCCTCTGTGTCACTTCTGAGCAACTCCGCAACCTCCGGAGGTAAATGGAGCACCAACTTCCTCTTCTGTGTAGCTGTCGTCAGACTCAGCATCAGTTCGAGTTAGAATTATTCCGGTCTTTCTGAATCCTGACAGGATGGTTTTGGTTGCCACTGAAGTCCAGGCTTTGTCGATCCATCCAGTGACTTCCAGGAAAGCTGCATGGCACATTTCTTGCTCACTCTAAACTTTCTTTCTGCTGCTTGATTACCGTTTTCTTTTTTCACTACTTGCAGCAGGACAGTGGCTCTTTCTGCAGGAGACATGCGCAATAGAGTGAAGTGACAGTGGTACAGGAGGAATAGGAAGAGCAGATACTGGCCTAGAGCACCGTCTCGCGGCTCTAAGTGTGAAAATTTTAATATATAATTGGCACCAGAGTATAAGTCTCAGGACCATCCAAATCATGAAAAAAAGTGCAACATATAGTCCGAAAAATATGGTATTTAGAAGCATTATTACCATTTTTAATATCAATTTTCCACTCTTGTTATTGTAATATATTGTGATGTGTGAGCTTCCGTGTCCAACTAATTTCCCTCGTGGATCAACAGTCTTAGTCTGTAGAAGTTGACAACAGCAGTAGAGACTGAACCATAAAACATTGCGTTTTATGCTCTTAACTCATTTATCATAATATGGACTTCCCTTTTGTTACAGAGTGTATGTATCTGTGAAAATGCAAATGTTATAAGCCTGACATAGTGAACAAATATGAGAAGGGAGGTTGAATATGGCTCTTATTCAGTCATTTAGAGTGAAACATGGTGTACTACATTGCTTAGTTTCTGTACAGTATAAATCCACAAACAGCTTGTTGTTTTGTTCTTGTACCTTTGTAAATATGGATATTGAAAACAGATGTTGGTTTTTTGTCGTATTTTCTGATTGAGAACATTTTAAAGCTTTACTGTTTACAAGATTTACCGTGGCTCACCTTTGTACTGTTAATAGTTTTTGATCGAGCAGCTTGTACTCTTGCCCGTAACTCCTAATTGCTACTCAAAATGTTGGCACCATAACGCACTGCACTGCTTTCAGACTTGTTTTGACAACTTTTAGCAATAAAGTCTCAAGTAAAATATTGCAGCCTGAAACACTGGAGTTTAGAGTGGAGAATACATAAAGCATAATCCATGTGTGTATAAAACAGATTGGATTACATATGAACGGATGGCAGTGTCATTTCCTGGATTTATCGTGTGTGCCCTGGGGTCTGAAAAATCCAAATCCACTTTATTTATATAGCACATTTTCCAAAGCGCTGCACAAAGACACAAAAACTGAATACATTTGATCTTACAAGTCAAAACAGTCAAATAAATTTTAAAAAGTCAAATGGGAACAAATAATAAAGCAAATAAAAATTGATTCAGATAAGCATTATTTAAAATTTCTCCTGTGTCCTCCCTATTACCGTATTTTTTGGACCATAAGGTGCACCGGATTTTAAAGTGCAATATCAATAATGTTGAGTTCTGTCGTCTATTTTCATACAAAAGGAACACCGGAGTATAAAGGGCATTAAGCGAAACAAACGGATGACACTTGAGACTGATCCCGTAGCCCAGTCATCCACTATCCATTGGCAGATCGTGGCATAATTTGCCCGGCCTTGCCTCCCTGTCTTGGTGAATGTATATTATGAATGTAAATGTGGTGTATAATTTAAATTAGTTTTATTTCCAACAAGGAGGACTGAAATATACACTGAGTAATGTGTTTGATACAGCTTGCGCACATTTGTTTACGTTTTACAGAAATCGAAACTTCTATGTGTTATTAGTCATCACATGACTAATTTGCACAACTACAAGCGCTGAAAAAAACAACTCGTTCCTTGTGCCTTGATGTGGTCAGCTTCTGTCAGACGAAAGGGCACAATGGTGCAGCTTTGTAGCTTGAAAAAAGTGGAAAAAAATGCGTAGCACACTCAGATGGCTGATGTTCAAATGTTTTTTATTCATAAAATAACGTTTTGGCAACAAAAGTCTTCGTCAGATATTTTTCCTGCTTTGGACCACAGCAGTGCTGTTTGGACATCGGCCATCTGAGTGTGCTATGTATTTTTTTCACTTTTATCTTGCTGCTCCTTGCACTTGCACCTCTACAAGAATTTTGGTGTGAGTTTTCTGTTTTTTCTGATGCAGCTTCGAAGCTTATCAAAGTCATACTAAAACATTTTGACAGATTTTTGAGTGCAGTGTACCACATAAAACTGGTTCGAGGTCAGATAGAATGAATACATAAGGCACACTGATGATTTCTGAGAAAATTAAAGGATTTTAAGTGCGCATTACAGCAGACCATGGGCCAGACAAAATTTCAGCCTTGCACTGGTGGCAAGGATTATCAGTGATTTTTGAAAGGTTCCATATCTAATCTTTTGGTGTGATAGACTTTATTGGGATTCAGCAGTATCACAGTTATTAGCCCCTGAAATGAACAAACCCTCCACTTAGACACAAGTCCATATTTTGGTTTAGGCCATGTGCCACCCACCAGGGTAATCATAGCTTTTCAAAATGTTTTCACCATTTTCACCTGAACAGTTTTACTCCTTACCCTGAAACCTCTAGGATCATGACAGACAGACATTTGTGATATTAAATTACTACGTCTGACTCTGAGAATTCAAATACTGTATAATATGTCTTTACTGTTTCCAAGTTCAAGTGAGTCACAAAGTACAAAAATTATTTTGAAAGACACATTTCACATAGAACCTCCAACGCCGATCTAAACTATTCCATGGGTTCTGATGTTTGGTGGTTTGTGTTTTTAGGGAGTTTGCGTGGAGAGACCCAGAGCTGACGGAGGTGATCCACATGCTCCAGCACCATTTCCCCTCCGTACAGGCCAACGCAGCGGCCTACCTACAACACCTGTGCTACGGAGACAACAGGGTCAAGACTGAGGTGAGCTGTTTACTCACTCACTCATTGTTTGTCCTCACACACACTTGTTGCATAATCTGTAAACTCTCAAGACATGATTCAGCTATTGATGAGCTTGGTTAAAGACCCCTGTTATAATTTGTGTACAATGTTTTCTCATCAAAAACATACCTGGAGTTGTGTTTTGTTTCATTTACATGTTTAACACACAAACTCTGCGTATTTATTTTGGTTAATATTGGCCAATATCACAAAAAAAACAAAAAACACGCACACACACAAACACTTTGTTATTGGTAATTTATTTATTTATGCAAAACTTTAAAATTGAAAATTAATAAAGGCTACAACTATGTACTTCACTGCAGGGGTCCCCAACCCCTGGGGCTTGGACCAGTACCAGGCCATTGGTCGTTTGGTACCAGGCTATGAAAGTGCGAAACTTCCCTCTCCCATAGGCTGCATGGGCTATGTCTCTAAACCCGAACTAAAACTGAAACTAAAATTTGGACTAAAGCCAGGACTAAAACCCAAACTAAAACCAGGACTACAGCCAGGACTACAGCTGGGACTAAAGCCAGAACTAAAACCCGGACTAAAGCCAGGACTAAAACTCGAAAGAAAACCTAAACTAAAACCCGAACTAAAACCCGAACTAAAACCCGAACTAAAACCCGAACTAAACCAAGACCTAAACCAGGATTTCAGCTGGATTAAACCATGCAACACCTCCTCCCGTACGCCGCCGGTCTGTGAAAATATTGTCCCTGAGAGCATCGCCGCAACTACTGTTGTCGCGCCCTGGTCCTCACTTTTACTGGTGCGCAAATCATTTCAACTCTATTTTATTTTGGTTATTTTGAGTTTGGAGATCGTCTGACCAACAAATCTAAACAAAATCGTGATCAAAATTCAATTAATTGCACAGCCTTAACTGTAATGTTTTTGATGAGGTAACAACATTGTAACATGACTAAAAGCTCACAGGAGTCAATTTTGCATAATACAAGACCTTCAAAGGTGGGGTACTCGACTTTATTTAATATAATTTCTTTCACATAAACATAGTTATATTGCAGAAGCAGCACTTTGTGACAAAATCAGACCTCTGTACGCATCTAATTTTTAAGTCAATAATATTTTATTGATCGCAGACCTGGAGGAAAGAGCCAAGAGCTGAAAGCAAATTCTATTGTGGGAAGCCTAGTGTAAAAAGCATTGTTTCACTTGGAAAGACAGGGACTCATTTAATTAAAAAAGTGTATTGACAGTCTGCTGCGCTAAAATAAGCAGTTGGAATTTCATGTAATACGAGTAATGTGGGATTTCAATTAAAATTTTGCAATTTCAAACCAAATCAAGTTAAAGAGCCAACGCTTACCACAGTGATGAACATGAATAACATTAATACAGGGATAGATAGAATAGATACAACAACAATAGATATGACGGTTTTATGGCGTTACAGTTACAATGCTTTTTATTAGTTGTTTTGGGGGGTCCTTAAATGTTTGGCATTTAATTACGGGGCAGAGCTTAGCATTCTTCCAAAAATGCAAATGCTAAAGGTGCATGGTGTAACTTTATGGTTGGGGGTCTGTCTGAGCCTGGCCCGCATCCAATAGAGCAGTGATCGAATCCAACCCGAGCTCGACAGCCTTTGAGATATTTGTGTCTGAACCTGACACAATTAAAATCACACTATTTTTATAGGCCTACTAATGACGCACATAGGATCTTGTTTTTGTGGCCTCTAACAGACACAGACGCAAAATACAAACTCAGGATATAGTGAAAAAAATGAGAATAGTAAAAAGATTCACCTCTCATAAAGTGGTAAATATAAAGTCTAGCATCTCATCCATATTATAATGGCAACCAGTCCACAAAACAGCGCTATTAATCCAATATGAGGCATTATTTGAAAGTAAAAAGGCAAGAGTAGTTCCACTCGTGTGTATGTTTACATCCACAGAGTGCACGTATTGAGGTGAAGCTGCAGATTCGTGATAGTTACTCTACTTCTTTATTTCTGTAGCACATTTTATAAACATGACAGTTTCCGAAGTGCTGCACAGACAAATTAATACAATAAAAGGCAGTAAATCAGATTTTAAAACAATAAATAAAAAGTGTTAAAATGCATAAAGCTAAAATTGATACAGCAATGAATAAAATAAAATAAAATAAATAAAAGACACCATAAAAGAGCACATAACTCATGCGGTGTTAAAAGCCAGAGAGTAAAAGTGGGTCTTAAGTCCACAGTGGACCACATTTCACAAATAATAATAACTCAGTTTTGACTTGTATCTAAAGTAGAAGTGCAGTGCTCTGATTTTTTTGAACACTTAAGAGTCTCAAAGCGAGTGGCTTTACTGTAGACGGGAAACAGACTCGATCATGCTCACAACTTTATATTCTATGGTCTGCAGCTTCGCCACTGATCTGACCTGTAACTTGGTTTGGTTTTCTCTCCATGGAGGTTGAGGTTTAATACCAAACTATGAAACATTCCAGACAAAGCAATAACATCTCCTTGAAAGAAAGCATTTGACGGACTCCCTACCAGAAAAGTTACACGATGCCCCTTCATTTTTATTAAAATTTTTTGTATTTCACTGGTTAAGGTTAGGAATAGGGTTAGGTTTTGGAACTGTTTTGGGCATGGAAAGCTGTTCTCACTGTGTAACAAAGTGTCAAACATTTAGGGAGTTGCGTTGGTTTGAAGCACAATAAAATCCTTCGAGTAAAAGCCTTAAATTTACATAAGAATATCTTTTTGTTGAATATATTTGCATGTTAAAAAACACACGCACGCATTTGCTTTTTGTACCTTTGCAATATACTTCCTCTTTCAACTGCCACTCACATCTTTATTACCTGCCTGTGCCTGATAAAATGGAAATATTTCACACAAAAAAAAAATCTTAAACAGCTTCAAAGGGGCTGTGCAATCTATGTTCAGTTATGACACCAACAGTGGTTTTCTTTTGATATCAACTTCAAGGTTTTATGTAATACATATTCTGAAGAGCTCTAAAGCATGATACATTTGCATAACCTGTTATATTTACCTTTGAAGAGACTGTTGATACTTTGTTGCTGATATCATCAACAGTTCCTGGGTTTGTGATGTTAGCAGGAGGCACTGCTCTGTCTGATGCTCTGTTACTCATGTTAGACTTTAATCTGTGTTTTATTTTAACACGTCTGACCAGAAATAGCTGACTTAATTGAAACTGTAACACGTGAGGAGATTTGTGGTGCTAGACAAGTCCCTCTCAAATAAAATCACAGATCCAAGCTCACCAGCAGTTTTCCAGTTACCATTTTTTTCAGACTATAAGCTTTTTCACACCAGCCAAAAAACGCATAATGAAGAAGAAAAAAACATATATAAGTTGCACCGGACTATACGTCAGAGACCAGGAAACAACATTTCATTTTACCAAACATCTTACCAAACTTTCCATCTCACTCCAAATCACTAAATCCATTGAATTCTTCATCCTCTGTGTCACTTCTGAGCAACTCCATGACCTCCAGATGTAAACTGATCGCTGCTTCCTGTTCTGTGTAGCTGTTATCAGACTCAGCATTAGTTCCAGTTAGAATTATTTTAGCTTTTCTGAATCCCGACAGGATAGTTTCGGTTGTGACTGAAATCCAGGCTTTGTCGATCCATCCAGTGACTTCCAGGAAAGTTGCATGGCACACCATCCCGGTTGTCACAAGTTTCTTGCTCACTCCAGACTTTCTTTCTGCTGCTCGATTACCGTTTTCGGCTGCATATTTTGCCTACTTGCAGCTTGTAATCTGCAAAATATGATTTTCTTTTGGGGGCATTTGTGTTCAGTCTTCTCAGTCGTCTTTATAAGTGTTTAAATTTTTAATTTTCAGTGGTACAGAAGTAATGGTGTGATCGACTGACATGATACAGACAGGACAGTGGCTTTTTCTGCAGGAGACATTTGCAGTAGAGCAAAGTGACAGCGGAACAGGAATAATTGGAGCAGCAGATACTGACACATAAACCTAGAGCCTCTCGCGGCTGCCAGTGTAAAAATTTTAATATATAAGTCGCACTGGAGTATAAGTCGCAGGAAACACCCAAACCATGAAAAAAGTGTGGCTTGTAGTTCAAAAAATACGATACTCTCACTCATTATTTTTGTTGAAAATCAAACACCTAAACTGGACCATGGACCCTTGTACTGACCACAAGCTCCAGAAAATGTGTAAATCCATTTTTTATTTATTTTTGACTTTTCAGACCATCTTAAAATTTGTTGACATTGTTTGCTAATGTGTGCATTGTGTCTGCTAAACATTCCACCACTAGAGACACATGCAGAAACCCCCATAGCATGACGTCACTCCCCAGCATCAATATTCTAATTCTTTGCTTTTCTCCTCTTTCAGGTGTGTCGACTTGGAGGAATCAAACACTTGGTGGACCTGTTGGATCACAAAGTCCTGGAGGTGCAGAGGAACGCGTGCGGAGCTCTGAGGAATCTGGTTTACGGCAAAGTTATGGACGAGAACAAAGTGGCTGTGAGGAACGCCGGTGGGATTCCAGCTCTGCTCCGACTACTGAGGAAAACTGTGGACGCGGAAGTGCGAGAACTTGTGACAGGTACGTTTGAAATATCTGATGAGGATTAGGAATGTATTGCTTCAACTTTTTCTGTTCCGATACAATACTTCTGATACTTTGGTTTTAACGATCTGCCAATGCCCGATACCAACCAATACCAGGGCAGAGACTAAAATATAACAGATAAGGTGAAACGTGATCCACATGTGTTTTGTAATTACAGAAGAGCTTTGTGAAAATAAATATAGGTTTAATATTATGAGACGTTTTGGGCTAACGTTGGCCAGTAAATCGTCTTATTACACCAATTTATTGAACAAAATGGGATATTGACTGTACAGATATCTTGGAATCGATAGCCGATCCACCAAAATTATCAATATTGACGCCGATATCTGATACCAGTATTGTATCGGTGCATCCCTAATGAGTATTTGTACTAAAGGTCTGCGTGTGACAGAATTTTCAGTCCCGCTGCCACCCGCTCCTGCAAAGAATTGTAATTTTCATTCCCACTCCCGCCCGCATCTGTAATATTTCGTCCCGCTCACGCCCGCAAATCCCACAAGATGGGAAAATTCGCTTTCTTAGGCTCTAACAAACACGGAGAAGTGCAAAGGAATTGTCTAAAATGTGCACGAGATTAGACCACGTCCGCAAGTTTAGGCTATTTAAAATGTTTTTATTAATGCCAAATAAAATATCCAGCACAAATAATGTATGACAGGCAAACATTAATCATTTGTATATTTTACTTTTCACTCATATTTAGTTTGCGGGACTGCAGTTTATCATTCCACCTTGAGCTTTCAAAATGTGTTTCTCGAGGGGCTCCCACGGAACCCGACGCACAGTGCAGAGCTCTAATTGGTACTTGAAAATGTCTTTGATTTTGTTATCGCTAAAGTGTAAGCACCTTTTTTTTCTAGTTTGACAATTATTAAGCAAACATGACAATACAAAGAAGTGTTTCCTAGCAACTATAATGTAAATAAGGGCCAAAACTTGCCCATTTTACGCAACAGGATATGGATAAAAGCATTGTATTGTACAAGAACTGTATACTGATGACTTAGATAGAGGGATTGCTTTTTAAAATTCAGCTCTACCTCCTGTAATTTCCAACTTTTTCACAAACTTAACAACTCAAACTTTAATAAACATTTGCACAACACAGCTACTCTCCTGCCAAACGAAGTAGCAAACCATAAAAACAGGTCATGTGCACTTAAAACCTTTATATACGTTGAAAACTTTAGTGCAAAGCTGAAATAATAAATCCATTATAGTACAGTTAGCGCCTTTTTAATTGAGCACATCTAAAAATATTACTTCCAATTCAGGTCCTTTGCTTTTAGGCGCAGCTTGTGGTCATGCAGCTTGGCGTAATGATGCTGAACAAATAGAGGAGGTGCTAAAATGCTACTGTTACCATGTGCTCCGGTGTTGTCTTGCCTGTGGGGGCTGCACACTAAAGGTTAGCTGTAATTTGTTGTAGGCAGAAGGAAATTGAGGAAGTAATATGAGACTGCACAGCTCTCTGCAGCCAAGTCTGAGTTGCTGCTGCTGCCGCTGCCTTGATGCTTTATAAAGATGGATGCTTCAACAGTTTCCCACGCTATGAAGAAGGGAGCTGGAGACTTGAAGTACAGTTTTGGCCGGCTTGGTTTGATGTGGATTTTGTGTATTCTGTAGTGCAACAAAATAATGTTTATGGAGCTGGGAATCACGGGATCTTTCACGATTTGATACAGAATACTTCGCTCACGATATGATATTATCATGATATGTTTTTTAAATGGATTAATCTGGATAGTTTTTTGTTTCATTTCACTAAATGAGCAACAAAACTATAGTGTGGTCACAAAAAAAGGGGTTAAAAGATAGAACAACAAAAAATACTCTTGATAAAGCAACTCACGATAACAATACTGTGTCAGCAAATTTACTCTTAGCGTTATTTCGATGTTTTTGCACACCTTTAATGTATATTGATTACCTGACACTGTAAGAATGAATTTTGATGTAAGAGGTTGACATGTTTTTGCATATATGAATTGTTTAAAGCTGCAGTAAGTACACTACCGGTCAAAAGTTTTAGAACACCCTAATTTTTCCAGTTATTTATTGGAGTTCAATTCGTGCAAGTCCAATGAAGAGCTTGAAATGGTACAAAGGTAAGAACTGAACGGGCAGAGGTTAGAAAAAAGATAAAAGATACAAAACACAAGTCCAAGCTCTGCCAAAACTAGAACATAAAATTACCCTTACAGAAAAATGTAAAAATGGGTAAGGTACAAACCCGAGGCACTGCGACTGAATATATTAAAAGTCCTTTATTACATGAAGGGATGCCAGCGTGTTTCGACCAGCAAGATGGTTTTTGTACCCAAAGTACACTACCCAAAATAGTGACTACTTTGCCCTGACGAAGACCATCTTGTTGGTCAAAACACATTGGCATCCCTTCATGTAAGAAAGGACTTTAAATATATTCAGTCGCAGTGCCTCGGGTTTGTATCTTACCCATTTTTACATTTTCCTGTAAGGGTAATTTTATGTTCTAAGTCCACTGTCTTAATCCTCGTAGAGCACCTGTACTGTTATTTTTTTACTCTTTTAAGACCCAGTGAAGCGCTCTACCTCTTTTTGCTTTATCTGCCAAAACTACTTCAGGAAAAAAGAACAAGATGGTTATACTTGAAAACATGGAGTGTCCAGCACAGTCTTCAGACTTAAACCCCACTGAGCTGGTTTTTGGATGAACTGGACAAAAGAGTGAAATCCAAGCAACCTACAAGTGCCACACATTTATGGGAACTTCTGCAACAGACTTGGGAAGAACTTTCTGAAGAATATTTGATTTCTATTGTAAAAAAAAAAAATTGCCACGAGTGTGTTCAGCTGTTACATCTGCCAAAGGTGGACACTTTCATGAATCAAAAGTTTAGAATACGTTTTGGTCGACAGTAAACTGTAAAAAAGTGTGGCGTTCTAAAAGTTTGACCGGTAGTGTAACTCTTCTGGCGATGTTTTGCCACTTGCTTGTCTTCATGGGAATGTTATGTCTTTTTCTGTAGAATCTGGCATTAAACTTGCATTGGAAAAGCTTCCGTGGAAAAACATGCACATAGATGAGTTTAATGGCATACTATGGAATATTCCAGGCTAAAAAGTAACATCACCATGGAGATAAGCAAGTAGCATATCCTCCTCCAGTAAAGTTAGTTCACTTTTAATCATTGGTGCAATAAATCTTTAATGGTTTTCTTTTAAATAGTTGTCATAATACACATTGTTCAAACTCTAGAGCTGTTCAGAATAAATGTGAGTACAAAAGCTCAGTCTAATAAATTATTATAGTAAAGTATCTATAGTCTTTTAAGTCAGTTCCACCTTCACGTTTCTTTTCTATTATTCTCCCACATCCTCTGGCTCCAGTTTTACTACTTTGTCTCAAGTTTGCCGGTCCTTTCAGAAGAGCACTTCATAAAATTGTCCTCGTCATAGCGACTGTTTCTAACGTCTGCATTCGCCATCTGCAATAGTCCTAAACAAAACCACATTTCCACTGGCTTTTCATTACACTCCAGACTGAGAATGGATTTGACTCCTTGTATCTGAAAATGTCGACTTTAGTGGTTGAGAATATTTAGTCAGTTTGTGAGCTCTGCAATAGTGCTGCATGACTGAGGGGGAAAAAAAATCGAAGTGTGATTTCTCTGACAAGCATTGGGTTAGAATTGAGATTTATATTTTAATAACAGTTTAGAGGTTCACAATTTAAACACAAAAAGGCCGATATGTGAACCGACAAACTAATACAAGAATCGACAGTAGCTCAGTTCGTAGAGCGTTTGTCCACTGATCCGAAACATCATTGGTTGAGCCGTCAGATCCATTGATCCACAGGTTGGCGTTGCGATTCCAGCTCCCACAGATGAATTGTGTCCTTGGGCAAGACACTGAACCCAAATCGCCTACAGTGTCTGCGTAAATGGGTGAGCGGTTCCTTGATGTGAAGCACTTTGACTGTCTTGAAGGTGGGAAGGAGCTATATCTTGTTTGTACAGATCTAAACTGCAGGGTTATTATTATTTTTTGCAGCAAATAAGATAACATATTTTGATGTCTGTCGAGGAAACGATGTGTGTTGTTGCTTTTCCTGGAATGTTCAGGGTATGACATTAAATACACTACCGGTGAAACGTTTTAGAACACCCTAATTTTTCCAGTTATTTGTTGCAATTCAAGTCGTGCGAGTCCAGTGAATAGTTTTGAAATGGTACAAAGGTAAATACTGAACAGTCAGAGGTTAAAAAAAAAAGATAAAAGATACAAAACACAAGTCCAAGCTCTGCCAAAACTACCTCAGGAAAAAAGAAAAAGACGGTGAGCTTGAAAAAATGGATTGACCAGCACAGTCTCTAAACTTAAAGCTGGTTTTGGGATGAACTGGACAGAAGAGTGAAAGCCAAACAACCTACAAGTGCCACACATTTACGGGGAACTTCTGCAACAGACTTGGGAAGGACTTTCTGAAGAATATTTGATTTCTATTGTAAAAAGAACGAGCCACGAGTGTGTTCAGCTGTTATATCTGCCAAAGGTGGACACTTTCATGAATCAAAAGTTTAGAATATGTTTTGGTGAACAGTAAAACGTAAAGCTTAAAAAAAAAATTGGAAAAAGTGTGGTGTTCTAAAACTTTTGACCAGCAGTGTATATCCATCTAACATTTATTCATTACGGGTGTTTCTATTCAAACATACAGTAACTCCTTCTGTGAATGGGGGGAATTGTAAAGTAGCGTAGTTCTCTAACCTGCTTGTCTCCCTTCGTGATAGATTTAACTTACACTCTCGAACATTCTAGACAAAGCAATAGCATTTTCACGGAGATAAGCGCTTGCTGGACTCTCCACTAAAAATGTTACACAGTGCACCTTTTAAATTGGAAAAAAAATTCCAATTCCGATTTAATCTTGCTGCGTTACTCTGCAAACTGTGTAGAATTCCTTGTTGTTTGGGATGAGGGTG